ACAGACCAGGGTGTAGCCTTGTGCATGACCATTTTATAGCAGTGTGTGGGACTGAAGAGAACCAGATCTAGCTTCAACATATAGTAATGTACAAGAATAGGGTGTTTTAGGGAATGAGGAGTCTGTCTCTTCAGAAATGAACATTAAAAACACTAAATGGAGAATTTCAAATCAGCTTTTAAAAGATACTGTTGATGCTTTATAAAGCTATGCATGATTTAGCATGAGAAAGAATTTTGACTTATRTAAAAGTGACTTTTGAAGGTATCTGAAATTGAAAGCTGACTAGGTATGTTGCTGTTCTCTTGTGTTTGCTGAAAAGAAATGATCAAAACCAGCCCATTGCTGCACTGCAAATTGTGTGTACCATGCAGTTTAAGATTAGAAGTGYATCTGTATTCTGTCATTGCTCTTTGTAAAAGTGTTTGTTTGCCCTTTATTGCACATCTCGTACTTTGATGCAAACCACAATTGCAAGGCATCTGATCTTTCCTTTTAGTTAAATGGTAGTATACGATGTTTTTCTCAGTTCCTAAGCTTGCTTTTTTCTTCTGTGTTGAAGGTACGTGATCAGTTTCTGCAGTAAATTTTTGGAGCTATTTTATGGGAGCCATTTGGGTAACAGTAAATTTTACTTGAGCTAATTTTGAATGGCAAATGTTTTTAATACCAGATTTTGATGTAGATTTACTCCTTGTTTAATTCGGTATTTTAGTGATTTAAATAGCTGCAGGAGAGGACAGGCATGTGGGTTTAGGATAGATTGAGAAACACAAAAAAACCCTGGTCCCATCAGTGGGGATTTTAAACCAGTTCTTTGTATTCTTCCAGATATAATTTGCATTCTGAAATAGTTTGCTTCTGTTGTCAAAATAAATGTAGTTGACAAATGCAAATTGTTGTCAGGGTTGTCTTAGCTTCGGACACTCCTCATGCTTCATTAKGAGCTGTCAGACTCAGTAGACTCTGTAAACTTAATTTAGAGACCAAAATACAGTATGAGTTTACACGTTAATATCACACACTCTTTCAATATAAATTTAAATTTCATTCTTGGCTCATGGAGATTGATTTAACAGACATTGCCTGTTGAAGCTGAAGTGATAGTATATTCAGTGCAAGATCTTTAAATTTTATCATATCTCCAGGTATTGAGGAAAAATATTGTGGAGGGAGAAAAGAATATATATTAAGGGGTTCCTTTTCATCCTAAGGTAGACCTACACTGCTGCTGATCGGCTGCTTTTTAGACCTGCTTTTTAGGCTGTTTTTYGCTTGGGTACAAATTGATTATAGCTTAGGTTTGGTGAGATTTCACCTTATGCTTTGTAACTCAGAGCATCTAGCGCAAACCTTAATGATGCAGTGAATACAGGTGATATTTTGTAAACACAGAAATTCTGTGCTGTTTCAGTGCTTRTAATTTTCTATGCACCAGTCCACCAGAAGGGTGAGTACCAATGTGTTGTGTAGGCATCTTTCTTTTGCTGAGGATTAAGAGCCTGGGGTTCAAAAAGAAGGGTAAACATCAGTGTTACAGGATACTGTTAGTTCTGTCTCTACATGTAATGTAGAGAGGATGTCCTAAGGATTAAAAATACAGTTAACATAGTGTTTATTAATACAACTTAGAACCAGAACCTGGAGTCTGGTTCTGGATCCCTCAGTTCAAAAGAGTCATGGAGCTCCTGTAGGCAAACCAGCAAAGGGCTATGGAGAAGAATAGGAGATGGCAGCACATCACTTAAGAGGGAGCTGGGGCTATTTAGCCTGGAGAAGACTTAAAGGGRATCTTAGCAATGTTTATAGGTGTCTGTACTTGGTACTGCTGAGCAGTAGGAAGAGAAGCAATGGGAAGAAGCTGATGTACAGGAAATTCTATTTGAACATGAGTAGGAACTTGTGCAGGTTGTGGAGTCTCCATCACTGAAGATATTAAAAAACCGTCTGGACAGAATCCTTACTGACCTGCTCTAAGGGACCCTGCTTGAGCAGGGGGATTCGAACCTGACCCATTCACAGATTCTGTGTGATTCAGTGAACATATATCAGCTTTTTGTCAACTGAAATACATTGAAATTTAAAAAAATAAATGGAATGTATGTACAAGTAGATTAGTCAATTAAACATAAATGTGTTTTATTTAGATTTCTACTCTAGGTATCCTTAGTATGCTCAAGGCACAGAAACTATTTTTCTGCACACAGTTGCAAACACAGAATTTATAATAAGTTTCAATGTGCAGTGTGATAGCATTATAGTTTCTGCAGCCTCTCTGTTCAATTTGTCAGCCTTCGTTTGTCTCATTCAGACACTTGCATAAACATAGCATGTATTACTTCAAGAGACATACTGTGTGCATGAATTCAGTCAGATTTCATTACTTTATTGATCAAAATAACTCTTTACTGTTTGATATTGCTGTTAACTGTGTAGAGTCAGAATGGCAAGGAAAGTGTAGGCTGCGTTCTGTCTTGCTTATCATTTGAATCACTTTCCAAATTAAATGTATGCAAACTTATTCCGGGAGGGGAGCACCATGAAAAGCCTCATTCGCCATATTCGGTTGCTAGTAAAAGAAATAATGCTGCAAATAATTTGAATTCTTGAACTTCAGGTTGGGTTTGCTGGACTGGCWGTTATACAAAAGAAAGAGAGAAGATATTTATTTTACAGGGTGTTGGTGTAAGTCAGTAAAAGCTGRCTGTGAATAATTTTTGCCTGTAACCAGCTCAGAGTAAAAAGGAGAATTGGAGAGAAACATCTACTACACCTTCAACACCAGCTTCTTGTGCGTGTTGGCTTTCATTCTGTGGAAGAAGCCATGCAAATTGTCCACAAGCGTAATTTGAACTCATATATTTCAGAAGCCAGAGGTTTTTTGTACAGACAGTTGGTGTTTATGGCAGCCCAAACTTGGTAATGTGCCATTGGGTCTTTCTGGCATTTTTGCCTTTTCCCTTTGGATGAGAATTTGTTAGTCAAAAATACATCTCTGTGGTTAAGCTGCTTGTGGTTCTTGTGTGTATTTTTGTTGTGCATAGTTCCTGTCCTTCATGCCATGCTAATTGCTAGATTCTTAAAACAATTCATAGTGAACCAGAAAATGTAGACTTCAGTCTTGTTGACTGCATATTAGCTTCTGTGTGAAGATCCGGGGAATGCTGAGCCAACATGTTCAGAGAAGAGTAGTTGCATTCTAGTTCAGTGAACTAGAGTGTGAAGCAACTAACATGAGCATATACACACAAGGCACATATTTCAAATTTTGTTTGGAAAGAAAGCATTTTTTCCAAGTATTGAAAGATCTTTGTTTTACAAATAGGCAGAAAMCTCAAGGACACAGAGTCTAAATTATTTACTTGTGGCTGTGCCTTTATGGAACGGTGCATTCATTTTGTGGAATTAACTGAACTTTTCAATGCTGCCTGTAAAGTGTAACCCTGCCTTTGGTAAAATTAGAGGCTAAGGTGACTTCAATGTAACTGAAGGGGTTACACGTTATTCTTTGTGGTGCCACTGGAAACAGGTTGGCTTGGGAGTATTGGCTCATTATTTGGATGTCAGAGCTTTTGCAAACAATAGGGAAATTGCATTTGCTTGGTACATTACATGTGCTGTTCAGTTTTTGGACTTGTGTATAATACTGTGTAAGGCAGAGATTGGCAGCTTTTCAGGAGCGAGGTGCCAGATTGTATTTTTCTTTCACAAATTAGAGGTTAAGAATGCTGGTCGAAAACATTCAAACGCGCTGTCAGGCGGTGTTTGGAAACGGCTGGCTGTCAGCAGGCAAGAGCCCACCCGGCAGTGGGTAGGTGGTGTAAGGRGCAGGGCTCTCCCTGTCCCAGAGCTGCCAGAGCCAGGAGTGCYCTCAGGGTGCCAGGGCTTCTGGTGCTCTGGTCCCTGCTAGCAATTCCGGGAGTGTGTGCCTCTGGAAATCTACCCACCTCTTCCTTTGCCACGTGCACTGAGCACTGGAAGCTGCAGGCGCTGTAGGAAATGGTCCCAAGCGTCCTGAGTTGTCTGTTGTAATTGCTATTCGTGTGTGTGAAGTCTGACATAAATTTCTGGTGCATGGTTGGTGTAATGTGATTCCAACAGAAATCTTTTTGTAACAGAGACTTTTGACACTAGATGGTCAATGTGAAACCWGAGCTGATCAACTGACCAGTAATGGTCCCTTGTGCTTTCCATTTTTCTAAAACAGGGACAAGCATGAACAGTTTTTTGGTGAAAGTTTTGAGGAAATAATATTTGAAGCCCCTGAGCATTTCGAGAAAGATGCTCTTTGTGAAGTGATGTAGAATACTTTGCATTAGAATCTAACTTTGGCAAAGAGCTCTAGCTGTTTTATATGCTTAATAACTCTTGGGAGTACTAATTATCAGGTAACCTGGASCCATTCTGCACAGTGAGCAGCACTACCCTTCACTCAAACCTAGTGCAAGCATGCATGGGTTGGCCTCTTCCTTTGTGGTGTCATATGTGCAAATGCACTGGTGTGTCTAGTGTGACATGGTTCACAAAAGTGTAACAGGTCCACAAAACAACAGTCTGATCACAAGCAGCTGTCTCCTGATTTTAGAACAAAACGTACTGTTAATTTAACTTATTGTTAAATGATAAGCTTTCAAATATAATTATGGCCTGGGACTGTTACAGTGTAGATATTCCCAGAATCCCACCTCTGCAATCTGTCAGCATGTGGACTGTTGTCTTCTATCCATGGTCATATCATRCTAGATAATTCTTCTCATTTAGAAAGTATAAATGGTTTCTACATGGAAAAAGTTATGATGAAAGTATCTAAAGTATTTTTAAAATTACATATCATATTGCAGTTGTTTTGGTCATTGTATATAAATAACCTGGGATCATTTTCATCCTTAAAAGCATATAAATGAGTGGCTACTTTGAATCTAGGAGCATTATTAAATAATCAAAATATTTAGCAGTATAATTAATCATACACATTTTAATTGGATTTCATGTTTTCCCAGGAGCTGTGATTGTCTCCACTCCACAAGATGTGGCTTTATTGGATGCACGCAAAGGAGCTGAAATGTTTAGAAAAGTCCACGTACCTGTAAGTCTCTACATGAAAAATACTGTTAGATTTTTTTTTCCAAATAGTAAAAACATTCCATATACAGCAATAGGTGAACATTCAGAAATCACTTTAATAAATTCTTGTTAAAAGGCTTAGAATCCAAATTATGTCTGTATCAGGAACTTGTTTTTCTTTAGGTTGATAGCTTATATCTTAGCCTACTTGTTTGAGAAATGGAAAATGTAAGAATATCCACAATTAGGAGAAAATATTAAGCTGGCTAATATCCTTAGCTTGATATTTTCTGTGTGCTACAAGTTGCTAAGTAACTGAATGTTATGCTCTMGAGTATGTTTATGTAGAGATTCATTTTTGCTTTGAAATGGGCAAGTGATGAGAAAATACAAATTGAAATGCTTCCTTATCATAAACTGTAAGTAAAAAAAAGATGTTTTCTTGCTTACCTGTGTGTGTGAAGGTTACTTTTACTCTTTCTTTGGAATGGTGATTTCTTTCATAGCTAATGCTTTGTTAACTTAAAAAAAAATGCAACACAAAGTTGAAGTGAATGCTTTCTCTTTTTTTCATTTACAGAATAGCTTAACAAAAGAAATACCTTGATGAATTCCTTATTACTAATTATTCTTTAAGCATATTGGCATCAAAATGGAAGTATTATAGCATTTATGATTTGCTGYTGAAAGAAAAACAAGAATAACATATGGAACATTTTGTTTTGATTTTATGTTTGGGTTTGCTTAAATGTTGTAAAATTATTTTCTTCAAATTAAATTGTGTTCAAGTTAGTAATTCACTGAACTTTCCATATGTTTTAATGAGAAATTACCAAGATTCCTTTCAAAGATTGTTTGTTTAAGGTCCTTTGGAGAGAMTTGCCTCCAAGAAAATCATTCATTTGAGGATAGGCTTGGCTAATACTAATTTGACTATTGAAAGACAAGGTATTAGCTATGATCTGTTTTGGTTCATCGGAATTATCAGATCTTGTTAAATCAAGTGAAAATTCACAATAAAACTGTTGCAACACATGTTGAGTTTGAATATGCTTGAACCAGTTATCAGGTCTTACCTTTTTCATGATGTTGCTTGATTTTATTCTACCCTRCTTCACTTTATTCTACCCTGTATCTATATGAGTACAGATGTGTCATTCACTTCAGTTTTAAAGCAATTGCTGCCTATGTACTGCATTTCTAAATGTCAGCTAAATATGAGGATCTAAAGGAAGTGTAGTGACAATTTTTGATAGACAGCTTCAGACCTGAGGTTTATGTCAAAGAGGTGGAATCTGTGGTCTGTGCTAAAATTACATATCTTGATTACATAATTAACTGACCTTTACATTTATAATCTCTAGGATCTTCAATCTTTCAGAAAGTGCTTGCAAAGAGCTGACTTTTCGAAGAAGCAGAGTCTATAGGTTGCTGAACTCTGAGTGTGCTTTCTTAGATTTAATGAACTGCAGTCTGTCCCATATACATACAGGTCTACATATTCCACCCTCTCCAGCCCTACTGTTATTAGTTATCAAAGACTCAGATGACAAATGTATTATTACCCCAGGGAAGTCACAACTGTTAATGTTTGTTTGTCCTTTACTGAAATTGAACTGCAATGACTGAACTAATGAGAATCTGGCAAGGAGAGTCAGCATTAAAACCAGGATTAAGGGCAAAATATATATTTTCGGTCGTGGAACATAGTTATCAAAAGAGGAGTGACATCTCTTGTGCAGTGGAGCGTACCTACACTAACAGTGACGAAGGAGTTTGCAATGTGATGCTGACTCCTATCACAACAGGATTCCAGATTCTTGKCTATTATGTGAATTTGGCCAGTGTTTCCTTACAATCCCGAGGGCGATTCCAAAAAAATAATTTTGATTATTAAGAAAAGAATTGCCCGTTTCCAMCTACTGAGGCTGAGTTCAGGTCATTATAGTATATCTTATCAATCATATCCCATAAAGATAAGACAGGATTTTCATTAAATGGACAACTTTTCTGGAAGTTTCCTTGAATTGGAACATTATGCTGTGGATTTTGCAGATTTCAAAAAACTGTTTAGATAAACTCAGTTATGTATTTCCTTCTGGCTTGTACTGCTTGCTTGGCTATGTTTTCGCTGGTATTTCTGAAACATCCAGGATTATGGCTTCATGTTGGAAGCAGATATTAGAGGCAAAAATTGCTCATCATAAGGTGAAAGATAGGAAGACAGAGATACTGTGCATGTTCACTTGAAGCATTACAACGTGAAGTGAGTGACTGATGGTTATACAGGAAGTTGATGGCAGACTGAGGAACTGTAACCCCGGTCAGTTCAGTCCCCATTGATTGAAGTCAGCCCTCAGCACCTCCTGTCCTTAAGTACAGTGAATGATTTAAGTAGGTTTTTCAGGAGTTGTCTCCTAGTGTAAATACAGAGAGCTTTCATTTTATCACTGTTTTCTTTAAGTTAAAGGTTATATATTTGGATTTAAGCATGATTAATTGTGTAACCACAAGGTTAGTTGAGCACGAGAAATATGTAAACATTCAGAAACTTGTGTGCAGATAATTCATAATGAAAGGGTTCTTCATTTCCTGTTTTTTCTTGCCAGATGCCTCTTCACCCTTTAAAATTACAATTGGACTAAAAGGAATACAGCTCCATGCTCCTACCATAGGTTAGCTCCTGTATTGTGTTTTCATGTCTTTCCTGAGCCAAGATTGCCAAGCTCACTGAGGACTAGAATAGTGTGCACCCACACTTACCGGGTAGTTTGTGTAGACAGTAACAGCTGCTTTGAAGCTATTACAAGTCTATTATTTGAGCAGGGAAATGAGAGTTATTGCTGACTTCATTAGCAAGACCTATTACTTTGTAGATTTAAAAGCTCTGAAGATCATAAGGAGCGCCCTTCTGTAAATATTTGTGCAGAAATATATGCAGTAAAAATACACTTGGGCAGTAAAGTTGTGTGTTTGCAAATGTTCTATATTTTGCTTAGTATTTTTAAGGGGCATCTTAATATTCCAGAAGAGTAAATTACACAGTATTAAATATGCGCTATTCATTGGTTGACCAACAGGTCAACCTGGTTTCAACCCAGGTTTCAGTGCTGAAAAATTAAAATTATTGTGTAATGCTGAAATGTTATTTGCTTTTAGTAAGGGTTGTTTAAATGGAAACAAAAAGGGCAGTGAATAAGGCCTCCAAAACTGATGCAGCATTGGAGATATGGCTGTATATCAGCATTTGTTTTTGCATTGGCAGAAGGACTTCTTACTTACTAGGTTATTAAAGTATTAACCAGTTGTAATAACCCTTAACTACTCACAAGACAGTAGTAGACAAAATAGCTTTTTTCTTTTATTCTATATTTGCTGAGTCATAAATGTTGTATGAATACTTTGAAGAGAGCAGAAAGTTCAAACTCCAAGATACCTGAAAATGAATTAATTAAAGTGGTTTTTTTCCCCTGTACTGTCAAAAATGACCTCCCTATATCTTGGTGAAAATAATACTTTTCTTCTGTCAAATAATACTCCTCCAGTTTACCAGCACAGTGAAAATTCCATGACTTGACTTTAGTGAGAGCAGGATGAAGCCTGCTTAGAGATCATCCGTAGAAGGCTGTGGCTGTAGAGATCCCTTTTTACCATCCCTTCACCTTGTGCCCTTGGACATGTAATGTTTCATGTGTCTCCTAGATAATAAAATTACCTGTATACCTGTAATATTTATGCCAGTAAATAGAAATATGTTCTGCCAGTCCCTGAGAGAGAGTAGAAAAGAGGGAAAATCAGTCTGAGGTGTTAAGTCAGGAGTAAGTAAATCTTTCTAATGTTATTATTTCTTAAAATATTCCTTGCTTTAAACCGTCTGAGAGTTTTACATAAGTCAAGGAAGATGTAGCAAATATGCTTTATGGTCATATAGAAAAAACAGGTGACCATCTTATGATAAGTTTCATCTGACTGCTAAGGAAACTTTCATTGTAAATAAGCTACATTTTTATTTTCAAGTTCAGTGCCAAAAGTTTTACATTCACTTGTAATTACATAACTTTAGATTTGTTGGTTTCATTGAACACTGGTGTTTCCTCTTAGATGTGCTTCATTGGCACAGTGGATGTCTCCTCTCCAATAACTAGAGAAGAATATATAACTCTAATAACCTTGTTCAAGCACAAAACTAGGAGGCTCAGGGAAATCTAGAAATACAAAAAGCTACAAAGTAAATAACAATATAAATTATATAGTCATTTTTAAAACTCAACTATAGTTTGTGTGACATCTAGATAACATAAATCTTATAGAGAAATATTGTAACATGGAATCTCTTAAAGCAGGTGTTCTGTTCATTAGCAGGTGGATAGAAACTTTCACCCTGTAGCATTAGAACACTGTTTTCATCACTTCTGGAAATTTTGCTCTGCCTCAATGAAGAGCTTTGTTTATTATGTGAATAAAATGGATCAGTGCTATCATTAGCATTATTTCACATTATCAAAGAAGATTTTTTGTGTGAATAACTTGGAAAATTTTCATTTGACATATTTTGTAAGGATGATGTTGAAAACCTGGCATCAACGGAAAGGTACCCAGGATGTGCATATTGGATTTTTATGCTGTAGGTTTTGCCACTTAGTTTCACTTAATTWTTTTTTTTTGTTTGATCTTTAAAATGTGTTTCAGCTCTTCAGAAGAATAGCAAATCTGGTTCTTTTGGAAAACATTTCCCTACAGGATAACTTATAAAAATACCTTAAAAGCATGTCTGATTGTGTAATTTCTTGTAATGATATGTTTTTATTTTGTCTTTCCTGAAACTGCAAAGTACAAAACTGTAAAACACAGCATGAAAATACTTCCACTATTCAGGTTTGGAAAATGAAATACTGGTGGGGAGAGTTCTTGGCAAGTTAGGGTTGTGCAAGAGGTACTTTTTGTTACAAATGAGGCTGTTAGTCTTTGAGAGATATAAATGTGAAAAAACTGAAATAATGCACAGATGATGATGCCACGAAGATGACTAATAAGAACTGACAATGACATTAATCAGTCTGATTCCTATTTTAAATAACTACTTGGTGTAGATTCTTAGTCAATAACCTATCWTTTATTGATATAGATAAGTAATGGAAATACCAGCGCTTGAGTACGAGGTTTGAACATTCTTTGCTTTACTTTTTTAGGTTTTAGGGCTGGTTCAAAATATGAGTGTTTTCCAGTGTCCCAAATGTAAGCATGAGACACATATTTTTGGAGCTGATGGCGTAAGAGATCTAGCGAAAACCCTTGGATTGGATATTTTGGGTAAGAATATGGAAATGATTTTATTTTTGAAGAAGAATTTAATGGTGTGCATTAACTGAACTATGGAACTGCATAATCTTAGATTATGCTATATTCAGACAGTGTTCAGGTATAATGGAACTAAATAGTATGCTCTGTTCCTTGTCAGTCTTGGAATGGTGATGTTGACTGGATATGAAAATTCTTGATTTGCATCATAAATCTCTTGGTATTTACAAACAGTCCAGAACATTAATTGTTTTGATAACAATGTTCTATTTTACCCGAAATTTGTTACGTTATTTATTATAAAGAAAATTTTACTAATAACCAAGAATTCTACTTAGTCTTAGGAAAGACTAAACTCTGTCCAATAATATCAATAAATGTTTTCACATTTATTTCAGTTAAATGAAATYAATTGTTGCATATTGATTCAGTGGAGACATTATAGTAGCCCTCTGATACCTAAAGGGGGCTTGCAAGAAAGCTGGAGACTTTTTGCAAAGGCAGGCAATGATGGGACAATGGAGAATTTAAACTGAAGGAGGGTAGATTTAGATTAGATATTAGGCAGAAATTCTTTTCCGCAAGGGTGCTGAGAGACTTGCACAGGTTGTCTAGAGCTGTGTATGCCCCATCCCTGAAAAAGTTCAAGGGCAAGTTGGCTGGGGCTCTGAGCCACCTGGCCTACTCCAAGGTACCCCTGTCCATGGCAAGGGGGTTGGAACTAGGTGATCTTTAAGGTCCCTTCCAACTTAAACATTCTGTGATTAGCTATGATTAAACTAACTGGCATGCCTGTAGGCTAAAATATACATGGATCTTTAAAATATACATTACTGTTTTAAAAAGGCATGGTTCAACCTGTGCTGTAAGTAAAGAATATAACACAGCGTAATTAAGCTGGTAAATGGGGTAATTGCATGTGCTAATGATGTGTTTCCATGTATTACTGTAATTATCTCAATGATTTTCCATACCTAATTCATTAAAAAGAACCAGGAAGCTCACTTAGAAAGATCAACAGAGAAACATCAAGGTCTGACATAGACTTAAGATAGCAAGGCAGCACATAATTAAAGACATGCTTTTGGGCTATCTTTTAGTTTTCTGAATGTATAATGAGTTGTGATCAGAGCCCAAGGGAGCTTCTACAGCCCTGGGTTATGTGGATGGCTGCAAATGCTCTGCAAGCAGTTGAATCTAACATKCATTTGGATACACAGGCACAAATGATGTCCCGTGCCATTGGCCTCATTGGTGGTTTTYGTTATTTCCTAAGAGTGCAGAGCTGATTGTGATTGTATTTAATTAGCAGTGATGTGAGAGATGTACAGATACAGCCAGGGATACCTGAGGAGTGCCAAATAAAGCAGAGTGAAGTTTAACTTCAAMTGTCAAAGCAAAACTAGACTAAGGTTAAGAATAATGCCCAAGGTGTTACATTTAGAATGACAGGGCTTGATCTGATTAGTATGCTCCTCCTTGCAGGGATGAGCAATATATAATAAAACCATATGGTATTGCAAGAAATACTGCTTACAGATTTTATGTTAATCCATCCCACATGGAAGTTTTATCTCAGTATTACTTGAATTTTGCCCCAAAACCTTGAGAACATATTTTTACACATGTATCTGTAAAATACATATACCTAATATTAGTAATTCTAAATTTATTTTGACTGTTTTTTCCAACACCTATGGCTGTTCTGTTTGTTTAGATGAGCACCTAGTGCTCCTTTGAAACTGGATAAGGTAGCATCTCACAAATTSTGCAAGTTAACAGTGTGGAGGATTGAAAAGTATTTTCCTTCCACTTACTCAGAATTGGCTGTGATTAATATTTCTGGATATCTTATTATTGTTTATCACAGAAGACAATTAGCAGTTGCCAAGACACTTTCAAGTGCAGTTCATCATTTCATATACTCCTGATTGTCTTTTTTTTTTCTGTTTTCTAAAGGAAAGTGTGACAAAGTTTCACTTTTAATTTGTGAGAGAGATTTTGTGCTGCTGATTTTTCTTTCTCTGTCTCTGAAATTCTTCTTCCCAAGTTTGGCTGTAACTGTGACCAGAAGACTGCTATGCATGATACTGAGATAATAATTTCTGTACATTCCATCCTCACCTTTGTAATTCTGAACTTGTTTAACTCTGTCTGGTTTCTGATCAGCAATGATGGCTTTCAGATTTTTGAAATTCTCTTTGTTTTTGTTTCCTACCATAAATTTAAATGATRCTCTTTCTTTGCAGTCAGCAGTAATTAATATCAGAAAAATGTACAATGGCGAGTTCTCATCATATTGTGTAGTGAAGAATAGTGCAAAAGTTTCATCTTCCTCAAACCCTTATCACCCAAACAGCCGTGCAATGGTCTTCTGCTTAAATGATAGAATTTTGATTTTTTTTAATTAAGAATTAAATTTTTCTTTATATTCTGACTGCACTTCTGTTCATACAAGTCCTGCTATGCTCCTGTAGTACCAGCACATCTTTGTAAGTCTGAGGAGGAAAAGAGAGAGGCTGCCCTTTYGTAATTATCTGAGATTATTAAGATGATAGTGAAGATGTATTTTTTCATTAACAAAACATCCTTAGGAAAAAGGCAAAGGTTAGTCTCCACATAAAATAAGAGTAGGAAGTGAATGTCAGGGAGATTTACAAAGTTACTGTTACTGTATTAAGAATGTTTATRGTTTAAAAAACTTTCAGAGGACTCRCTGAATTTTTTTTAGATGAATACATGAACAGACTTTTATACCCAAATTTATTAATGACTGAAATAAATAAGAAAAAATTAAATTTGAAGGGAATGGGCTGTAATTATCATAAATAATGAARTTCTTCAAAGATTCAGCATGCTAATCATGCCACAGCTTTTGTGTTTGCTATTTGTTTGTTTTTGTTTGTATTACTGCTTACTTTGGATTCTGTTTTTTTATCTCTTTGTCAATTGTCATACAATTTTTTTTAACGTTTCTTTTTCTGAATACATTGAATCTCAGTAATTTACACTGGTCTTGGTTTGAGTTAAACAAAGTGCTAATGTGTGAATTAAACTGATAGAGTTTCTAATATTTCAGGATTGAACTAAGGTAGGCTGTTCTGTCTGCATCCATCCATGGTGTAAAATGTAGCTGCGTTTTCCATTAAAAGTTGGTCTTCAGTTCACTTCAAAATTATTTATGTAGCAGAGAACTAGACATAGAAATCTCCAAGTTTTTTGTAGTGCTGAAATATGTGTTTTAGAAAGTATGTTTCAGAATGGAATAGGGCTGCTAATTGATGCTCCTTTAGAACGTTCCTTTCCTCTCTGACAGTTCCCTGCTCATTATAAAAGCAGGATATAAAGAAGATTTCTGTTGGAAAGAAGAATGAACTGAATAGTTGTCCATCTTTGACTTGGATCCAAGGCCTAATAAGGACAATAACAAATGCTATTATTTGGAAATTAATTTTTCAAAGAAGTCTTTGAACAGTGATTAAAATCTTTAAAACACGCTGAAAAGAATATACAATGAGGAGATAGGCTGGACAGTAAGTTGCGTGATKAGCATTTGCCTAACACTCAAGCGATTTATTTTATGTATACAAAATAATTTGTGTTTTTCTATGTGTTTGAGGCAAAAAGTTTTACCTTCTCTAATACATGACTAAAGCATGGTCCTTTCTATTCAGAGAATGAAAAATCCAAAATGTGTTTGACATTATTAGTTATGGATTTAAGGAAACCGTACGGCATTCAATTTTTATTTTAAATGTTGATTTTGGGAGATTAAATAGGTTAAAAAATATGCTAAACTGGAATTTGTTTTCACTTGCTTTAGGGTTATTTAAAAGAAACATTTCAGAAACATTAGGTCTTCACATATGTGTATCTTGGTATTTTTGATGCAGGAGACATTCCACTGCATGTTAATATACGGGAGACGTGTGATTCAGGACAGCCTATTGTGATCTCTCAGCCTCAAAGTGATGCTGTAAGTTTGATGCACTGCACTTAAAACAACAGAAATCTCGTCTCTGAAAGTGAGTGGGGAGTGCTGCTTGTTATTGCTGTTTGAAAAGAAATCCRTGTCTGAATGGAAGTCAAGGAAATAAAGTAAAAGACGGTAGTGTAAGTAAGTAACTCAGGCCCTTGATTTTGGAATGCTGGTCAGCTGTTCTGCTTCTGTGGGTTTGGTTTTGTTTAATTAGGCTGAATCATTCAGAAGAGAGAAGATCTGGTCCAGGTCCTGGCATGCTAAGAGGAAGAAAGGTCAGTGTCAAGCCTCATGAGACCTTGCAGTTAATGTAGGTCCTCTAAAACTGTCAGTTAAGGCTTTGGTAGCTGAGCCTGGAAACTGTCAAAGGGTCCCATCCAAAGATGTTTGGAACAAAACTTCATGTTTGTACCTGAGTCGCTTTCAGCAGGAAGTGGAGCAATTGACACACAAAAGGAAATGGATTTTTCAGTGCATTCACCGTAACACTTTATTGTCAGTGGCGAGGTGGTGCGAATCAAATATGCAAGTCTGTAAAGAAAAGTAGTTGTACATACAGAATTTTGTTARTGCTGATAGAGTACGATTTTCTTGTCTAGTATTTTCCTTCTTCTCTGCTAGAGTTTGTCTGCCAGGCTCTGCAGGGCAGGATGCAGCACACAGTTTATGGCATAATGCAGCCCCACTTTTGACTGCTGCTTAAATGTAAAGATGTATTGTGAAAAAAGTGATTTATGCTGGTAACAGATGGTAGAATCAATTCAAGATAAGGTAGACTGCACCTATGGAACATTCAAATATTGGTAGCTTTTTTAATATCGTGATTGCTAGGCACATTCTGAAATGCTTTTTTTACTTCCCAGTATTTTAGAAGGAAAAAAAAAAGGATTAACATTGTTAATCCAGTCTTATTAACATACAAAACGGGATTCTGGAAGAACAGTGACAGTCTTAAAATTGTAATTTTGTTTTGAAAGAGAAGTTGAAGCCCTGTGGTGTGTTGACTTCTAGCTGAATGCCATATTTTTGCTAGGTTGGGCAAGTGCTCTGGAATAATGTAGTGATCTTGAGTCCAGATCCATTTGAATAGGAATCCCTATAATCCATATGGTGGTTGTCTCTGGGAAGTTTGATCAGCTATGTGGAGTTTTGAATGGATGTGTGGCTTTGGTCAAAGCAGAAATAAAAGAGCTGGGAAACTGAGATGGAAGGCTCACAGCTCACARTATCTGAAATCTGCAATAACCAAGAGTCTGTAGCCTGCTGGACTATTGATCTAAGAATTCAGTCATGTAGGATAGCATTCTGAAAATAAAAAAGACAAGAAAGTCTGTTGTGTTCCCATCTGTTCCTCCTTGAACTATGTTCTTGGTAACAAAAGGATGGTTTATAATCACCATTTGTGGCAATTAAGCTAAATATGCAGAGGAATAAAGATTGACAAATATGTGTGACTCTGGGGAAAACTCTTAATATCCTTCTCTGCCATTGTGTCTGTGAGATAATCGTTCTCCTAAGAGAATGTGTTTTTTTAAAATGTCACTAATCTCTACAGAATGAAAAAGAATTTCCCTTTATCCTTCGTTTGCTTCTCATTTTAAAGACAGAAAAAATATTGTTCTTTTATATTTTCAAAGAAAAATTAAATTCTTAGCACATAACTGATGGTGGAAGAGGTCATATAAGGTCAGATTCTAATCTTTAATACATGCCAGTCATCATCATGTTTCTCAAACTGAATTTGTGGCTATTCATGCAGGAACAATCACAACTTCTTAGACAGAGAACAGTGTCTGCTGAAATTATCTCTGCTCTTGTCCCTTGAATGTGATGAGGATTTTCATCTAAAATTCTATGCTGATTTTGTTAGAACAGACTTAAAATCAAATACAGAATCATTGACCTGTAATAATACCTAGCAGATTCAAACAGCAGGGAATAGGAATGGTGATTGACTTCTTAGAAACCCAGCATGCTGTCACACCTTCTAAGCTCTGTCAAGCCTAGAATAACAGGGTATTTCTAAAATATATCAGTTAATACATTTTTGCTTATATATCTGCCATGGGATTCATCTTGTCTTGCAGATATATAAAAGTATAGCTCTGACTTTACTCTAGAATTTCAAAATATCTAAGCAAACTTGTCTAAATTTATTATTTTGAAGCYTAGATGTAGTTGGTAGAAAGGAGTTTCCTTTTCATAATGACAAGGAAACTACTAACAACTAAAAAAGAAAATTACTTGTAGAACATAGGTGCATATGTGAACTTAAAAAGTTCTTCCTCAGGGAAGGTGCAGAATACACAAGACTAATCTGCTTACAGAAAGCACTGACAATATAGCTAAAGGGGTATGAAGGTTTGATGGCTGGAATTCTCTTCTTGTGAAGCTTGAGGCAGTCCCCAGGAAGAAATAAACAATGCTGGTAAAATGATTTTGCTCTTGGTATAACATTGTCTGTGGTAGTGTTTCTGTCAGTTTAGTTGTTTAAATTGTGGCATTTTTGTGGCTTTTTCTTAATACTCTTCATTGACAAAACTTTGTTATGTGCTGTAGAAATGTTATATTGCTGTATGTGCATGTCAGCCGAATGCAGCAGCTGGGAATGACCCAAGATCCTCTGCAAGAATCTAATAATAGTTCAGTCAACAGTGAGAACTTACCTTCTGGAGTGAGACCCTTCTGGAGATYAATTGAGCATTTTTCTCCTCCATCACACTATGAAGGTGGATTAGCCTGACTAGGGTTCTATTTTTTTGCTCATTGAAMCATATGAAAGAGTCACCAGACAGCAAAAGCTAGGAGAATCAGGAATGCTGCTGAAGTGGTAGAATAGGGAAAACATGAGGAATCACTGGAACCAGGTGAAATTGATCATATTCAGATGTATTAGAACTTCCTATGGACTATGGGAAAGGAGCCAACAGCAAAACAGGTGTTTGGAAGAGGTGTCCTGAGGCTTGCAGATAAGAAGACTAGAAGCACAGCAAGAGATATAGAACATGATTAATTGCACTGGAGTTATTCTTCCACCAAATGAGTTGTTTAAATGCCCTGTGAATGCTCCATCACACTGGGAGAAAGATAAGTAGAGGTTCCTAAGAGCTCTTCCATCTGTGAGTGTAAAGCCCAGAGAGTTGTGAAGCAATTGGTGGTTATCTTGTGAGGAATTCCTGTTAGAAACTTTTAGGTGTGTCACAGCATTAATGGCACAGTGAATTTTTTAATACCTTGGTAGAACAGACAGGTGTCTGGGGCTGTTGAGCACCAAACTCCCACCTGTCTTAAGGTCAAAGAAGCAGCTCAAACAAGTACAAAATATATTTGCTGTACCAGCGTGTCCATTCACATCCCATATATAAGTAGGTAACGGATTTTGAGTCCAATGAATTGCACACTGATCTATAAYGGATGGGAAAAAGCCTGGTCAGGTGGAAAGCAGGGACACAAGATATCAGCAGTGTGATGGAACAGAGAAAAAAATAAGTCTTGTTAATAAATCCTTTTCAAYTAAATCAATGTTACAAACCTTACTGCGGTGCCATCCAAAGAGATAACTGAAATTTGTATTCAGAAACACTTCTTTTKTAGAATTCTTATGAAAGGGTGATATATAAGTAGGGTGAAAACATRCAGCCTTTTAAAGATTGCAAGAAATAGCTGGAGAAAAGTTGAAGTACTGGTAGCAAATAGTCATAGAATTCTGTTTTGTGGTTTAGCTGTCATCAATAATTTCATTTAATGAGTGGTCAGTCCAGTTATATTTTCAAAAGAAAAGCAAACCCCAAAGAAGACTGCATGATATGATTTATAACATGCCTTTTCATCAAGCCTTCCTTTGAATGGTCACAGTAGCATTTGGTATGTGTAGGTTCAAATTCTTCATTCAAGGTGTAGATAGATGCATTTGGCAATGCATCATCAGACCCTCATTTACGCTTCTGTCTGCTGAAGAAATTCCGAGTGGTAGGATAGCCTGTTTGAAGGATGTCAGTGTGCTGCATTTGATTTGCGCTGTTCTACTTACCCGTGTTTTTTCAGCAGGATGTCTTTTTAGATGTCTGTAATGGCACCTTGGGATAGCAGTATTACCCAGCTGGGGCTCCCTCCGAGAACGGCTTGGCTGTTACTGCTGCTGATATGTAGGATAATTAGGAAATTTCCCATGAGCTCTAAGGATTTTTCTTTGAGATTTTAGTTTCATAAATTCARCTTACTTACCCATCTCCTCCATTTCATGTTATAATGTATGGATTGACATTTATTGTCTCATTATGTTTCCTTTTCTGACCTGATGAGACTTCACTGTATTTTGGCAAGAGTTGCCAGTACATGCACAGAAGAATCTTGTGGTAGACCTGCCCAGAGGTGGGCAGAGTGGGATAGGCTCTGGACCTCTTGTAGCAATCAGGAATTTCTCTGCGTGACATGAAGCTTTTATCTGAAGTGGACTCATTTAAAGCTGTGTTTATCAACATGTTTTTAGTGCCTTCTGAGTTGTTCACAGTAAAATATAGACAGTGGAGGGCAGCTCCAGTCATGCACTGGAGTTGTGTCAAAGTAACAAACAATTTCTGTGGAAATTTAAGCTATTAAAAATCTAATTGAACTAGAAAATGGAATATGGTTGCACAGAGAGTGCCAAGAGCAAAAGTTATCAATGACTGGCTGGCCATGATTATTTTCATGTACATGATGGTAGCTGAGTATAGTATTTGTCCTTGTCATAGTTACTATTTGATTAGTTGTTCATGCTTGTTAGTTTTCTTCAGCAACTAATAAAGTATAAGTCCTTACAGGTCAGTTGAGCAGGTTTAAATTCCTTTTCTTTCTTTACTGGTACAGTAGCATCCACAGCATTTGATATTCCAGTCAGGACTTGCACAGATTCTTCTTTGRATTGCTGGGCTGGATAAAGCATCTTAATAGTCTTGTAATCACAAATAGACAYTAGACACCATGTCAGTATTGGGATTTATATCCTGAAGGCTACAGCCGAGTGATGGGATCAGCATACATTTTCTGATTTGCTGGAATCAAATGGTTTGATTGGAATGGTTTGGGTGAAGGAAAATGTGACGYTGGCTCCTGCCTGCTTTGATTTTGTAGACTCTGAGTTGGGTTCTGTGTGTGGCCATTGCACCAGACACTGGTAGCCACAGTAGTGAGCTGTTGGCTGGCTGAGATCTGCAGTCCAGTGGAGAGCAAACCAGCAGGTCAGACCAAACCAAACCAATCCATGAGAGCAGGGCAGAGTGAGCCATGACCTGTACAGTCTGCACTAATCTTGGCAATGATGCATACTCCCCTCATGGATAAGATTTTTAGGGAGAATGGAATGCCATAACTGAAAGGCTATATTTTCCTGGGATTACTGTAGGGCTTAATTAGATCAGCTCATAAAAAGTCTTGGAGTTTGAATCTACCCCACATCTGTTAGCCCATGATAATACAGATTCATTATAGAGCAATGAATCAGGGTGTTCTGATTATKTAGGTTAAGTAGGACTTTTCACTCCATTTCCTGGTGAACTTCGTTACAGGTTCTCAGTTTCCTACTCCACCATCAATGCTGTCATCAGCTTCACCACTTCATCATCAGCTATGCCCTTGAGGTCCGAAGAACTGTGCCTTCTTGGCACTGTTTGTACTTGTGTTTGAGAGATGAGCAGCCTTTCACATGGCTGTTCCCCAGCTTTTTTTTTGACTCTGTGAACGTCACCTTCTACCTCTGCCTCTGCCTTTCCCAGCGCTGCTCTCAGACCCCATCTAGGCAGTGTTTATAATAAACAAGTCTGGTCTGGCTTTAGGGCATTCTGTCTTCCTGTGCACTGCTTGATCCTCATGAAGTGGGGGGGAATGATAACAGATATTTTGTTGTTAGATATAAAGTTGTCCATCAGCAAAAAAAAATGGTTTTCAGAAAGAGAGTCTATAAACCATTCCTTTAAGCTTTCAGACATAAAGAGAATAACTGACCTGAGAAGTTTGTTTTTCTCCTATTAAAATGAAAACAGTTATGACAGATGAATAAGAACTCATYCATTACTTGACATTAAATTTGTTAATGCTGATCTGATCACAATCCTAGCTGTGTCACGTTTTTGGAGATTTTAACATAAGTGTGCTTCCTTGGATTGCTCTCCATAGTCCAGTTCTGTGCTATTGTGCCCTCCAGCTCAGGGTGTCTGACCAAATGCCACAGGTTGGTGTGAAAGAGAGATTTAACTGTGTGGACTGCAGTGTTGTAGAATTATTTCTTTTCAATATCCACTTCAGTCTTCGGAAAGATGTCTTTTTTGAAAATACTTTGGTTTTAAATGTCTGAATAGGAAATTCCATTGTGATAGTCTAGTCTGTAATGAGTTAATTGTCTCCAAAAATTCCTTTTGATGTTATTTTCTCTGATTCTCTATCTTGTGCACAGTGCATCTTGGCTGTGAGGATGAGGGAAGTTTATCATTAATAGTACCTTGTGGGACTAAAGAGTCCATGTTCTCTTCATCACTTCTCTCCAGAAGGCTACTGAGTGTTTGCTGTTAAAGATAAATTCTGTTCTTAGAATAATACGCAAGTTAAATTTTACAAATTCTCCCCCCCCACCCCGCTCCCCCTATTTCATATTATGCTTGTCCTTATTCTCTGTATTAATGCATCATTTTTCCTGAATACAGTCTAAATTGAACCCATTTATTTAAACATCTTTGGTTTTATTTATGTGTGTGATAGAACAAATACCTAACTAGTTGTGAAATAGTCCTTTTAATAGAAGATGGAAAGTGCTCAATATATGTTTCTGTTTTTGCAGGCTAAAGCCTATCTAAAGATAGCCATGGAAATAGGAAGAAGACTACCAGTACCTTCTGCTTGAAGCATTTGCCACTGAAACTTATCAAAAAAGTGACCTTTGATGCATCCAGTTCAGAAGAGTCTTGCTACCTAATTACATGGAGGGTGTATGTTTGTTCTAGGAACTCCTTTAGGAATTAATTTACCAGAGGTTAAATTATGATTGTGATAATTACTATTTTTAAAATTACTGTTTGGCCATATCGAACTGGATTCAAGTATGCAGATGATGACAGACAATATTTAACTACTGAATTTCAACATCATCAAGCAAGAAGGGATGAAGTACAATTTTCACATATGTCCTGTTTTAAGGTCAAGGATGAAAACCAGCCTCTCCATGCCAGGAGAAKGATTAGAGGTATGCTAAGGCATCAATCCTGCTTTAAAAATTAAATTTTCAATTCTGTAATTTCTTTCAGTTTTGGTTCAGCTTTCTACATGTTTAACTGTCAAACTAGCTTTAAGTTCTTCAAGATTTTAAGAAACAAAATCAGTTGTGCAGCTGCTCTACTTTTGAGTGTTCATCTTAAAAGAAAATGAAAAAATTCCACATGCACTCTGAAGAGTTCTTGTGATGGATGAGGAGCAAATTCATTCATTATTGGATGAAGTTCGATTGTGAGGCAATTCACAGTTTAGTGGAGAATGGATTACAYGACCCTGAGGCTTGTTTCTCGGCTGTTTTGCATTATAATGAACCCAGACAGAAGACAAGGTAACCGAGGTCTTCACTGAAAACCAGATGTTTTGCCTGAGCTCAGTTTGCCAGGGAATGCAAATCATCAAGATAAATTAAATTTATGATTGCATATTCCTATTACAGTGCAGCAACTTGGAATTTAAATATGAAGATATATTTTTGAAGTAAAGAAATATTTGGTCTTCAAACTATGTGGCCTTCTGGTTTGTTTTTCATTGCTTRTGATCTTTATTTTTGTGTTGGTGTGTGGAAGTAAAAGATTATGCCTTCAGGGAATGAGTTTTCATTTACAATTAGATGTTTGGGTTGACATTTAGGCTTTTCCATCTACTCAGTCAAGTATGGATATCTTAAACATACACTGTAACCCTACCATAAGGTGAATCTAACCATTCTAAGGAGTTCTGCTATTGACCTGTGAGTGACCAAAATTCTTTGTATTCCAAATACTTTGTTAGAATTTTGGATGTAGTTGTTTTTTCTTACTGAGGTGATACAACATAAAAACTTGGTATACRTTTACATTAAGAATATTTAAGTAATATGTACCCAGAGTTTACATGGAGAATCTAGACACAAGTGATGAGTTGAATTTCAAGCTTAGATGATTTTTTGCAAATCATACAATATGCAAATTGTATAGTCTGAAACTTTGGATTTTTTTGCTTCAAGTCAATCTCTGAATCTCTTCCCCGCACCCTCCCCCATGAGAGCTCATATCAGTGGTCAGCTTTTTCAGGAGTGTATTGTCATGGTCTGTAGAACTGACAAAATAATCACTTCCTTTCATTTGTCTGAGATATATTATATATATATATATATATATATATATATATATATAATATATTTATATATAACATATATTTTACAAAAATTAAAGCTGGCTTAATGTTCTGCCCTTTTATACCTTGATGATAACACTTTTAAAAATTTTTATCCCTATATATTTATTCACTTTGCTTTACCTACCATAGTTGTTGATACACAGGTCTGTAAATAATTCTGTGGCAATTTTGGCATAGTATAATCTTACATTTCAGTGGAAAAGGTGGGGTTTCTGACTGGTTTTTAGCAAAACACAGTGATATAATCTGAATGTTAGTATTTGTAGTTTTCATTCTGTTAAAAAGTTTTTGAATGTGTCTGACACCCAGTTCATGTTAAGATTGGGTGAACAATCAGTAGACAGATAGATGGTTGTTTGTTTTCCCTTTTGTTTCTTTCAAATTATTACTTGRGTTAGTTGAAGGATGAAATTTGCTTTCAAACGCTCATTTATTTTTACTCCTTTTTAACTTTTTTCCCCCTTTTAATTAGGTACTGTGGCTTCGCTCATCTGCAGAATTATTTTGAATGCCTTTATCAAGAAACTATGTTATAATGATTTAGCATAGTTTTTATGCCAGTCTGAAAATTCATATTTAGTTAACAGTTTTGTGGAAGGATTGCACAATGTAGTGGATTTATTGATTGCAAATTGTCAGTCATTTAAAATATATATATATATATATATATATATAAATGTACAGAATTGGTAGGACATTTTTGTGTTTTAAGGATACCAGCAGTCAACCTAAATTTAAATTGACAATGTATTTGCTTTACTTGCCTTACTCTCATGAGTGAAAAGCTGTTTCCAGACCTCCTCCTGCAAAATAAATGAAGGGCACTGACACCATGGCATTGCTGTTTAAAGTTACAGAAACACAGTGTCATACTTTTTAATAAGACAGTACACTGTTAAATACTTACTAATGAATTCTAGTCAACATACTACATTTGAAGTTGTATTCATMAAATCTTTATGACAGTTGTTGATGTGGGGTTGGTTGGATCAGTTGGAGGTTTAGCAGGAGAAGGTGATATTTAACTGTAGTTTATAAATACAAATTATAGACTTGACACACAGTGCTGCTTGCTCTTTTCAGCTCCAGTATTTCACTTTAATCTCATTGATATTTCCTAGTGTACTARTATGTTTTTGTTCTAAAAATGCTAATCCTAACAAAAGGGCCTGGCTTTCCTGAGCTCTATAGGTAGATGCTTTTTGCTCGGAGCAAGGGAGACTTACTACAAAATTACTGTGCTGGTGGGTTACCAGAACAGAATTATTGATGTCTGTAGCACTGTGAGCTGCAGTTTCACACTGGAAAATCCCACAGAGGAGGAAAGAGAGAGGAGGGCCATGAAGGCATGGGGCCAAACAACCAGGAATGAGGACAGAGGCGATTGTCCCAGTTTACCTCCTGCCTAGGTTAACAAGATTCCGAAGGCTCCCAAGATCCTCTTGCATTGCTGTCAGACTTAGTTTTGCTTTCACAACATGACCCTTTGTATAGTGACCACAGTTCTTGTGTCTGCAGACAATTCCTGCAGTTTCTTGGGTGARGAGCATATGGGCTGTGTCTTAACACAGTGCATTTCTTGGCTTTCAGAAGTTTTGGTTTTAATGAAACTGAAAGAAGGTATAGAATTGTTTGTGCCAGTGAGGTACTTTGCTATAAAATTTTTAGTGCTACATTCAGCTGATGAATTGTTCAGCTCCTGAGGCTATGGTTTGTGCAATACTTTGGGTGCTAGATTTCTCACAACAAAATTTTAATTGTTATTTGAAGTTATAAGAAAAAAGTAGTTTTTATCTACTAATTCAAGTAGAATTCAAACAACAACCCATTTTAGTTGCTCTGATTGGTGATCATGGTTATGAATTAATATTAATGTAGAGGAGAAATGGCAGGAACRGGTCATTTCAGTGTATTAACAAATTCCCCACCACCCCCCATAATTCAAACAGTTGAACTTACTTGGATCCAGTTGAGCAGGTGGAACCCCCTTTATGTTTCCCATAGTGAGGGTGGGTTTCACCCTGATTGACTYAAACTCCCGTTGGGCTTTGCCTGCTTGTCATGGATGCAGTTGGTGCTGATTAGAAAAGGCTTTGATCTGAGGCAGCTGCTGCMTGCTGCTTTGTTGATAAACTGTCTTGCCTACTGGGCCCCCTAATGTGAGCCAAAACTGCAGTCAAGGGGGAGAAAAAGGGAGTAAGGATGGATGAATCTTGTGCCAGTGGGAACCTCTCCAGGTTCCAGAGAACATGCCATTAGAGGGCTTGCAGGTGTRGGAATGTACATTGAAGAACAGCAGCATCAGAGCAGCAAAAAGAGAAACCTTTCTGTTGCTTAGGTTAAAGACTAAAGAGCTTTGAGAGGCTCTGTGGCTACAGAACTGGTTTACAAAGGTTAAGGCACTGAATTGCCTTGTGACAATTCAAATTTTGGTACTTATGCAACAATTTAAATGTCACCATTTTGATACTTCTGTGCAAAGCTTTTTACAGAGCATCCCCAGCCCCGAGACTGACAGAGGGGCTCAGTACCCAACTACCCAAGTCCTGGGTAGTTGCTGTTCTTCCACCTTGCTCCTGTTCTTCCAGATACTGGTTGGGGTAAGATCTCCGTGTGTGTTTTCCTACATGGTTTGCGGTAGTTGTCCAAGGTGCAAGAGACTTGTTTTACAGCCTGCTTAAGAAGATTCAAATCCACAGCTCCTAAACTTAGGAGTGGTCTTCAGTCCCCTGGTTTAGTCTTTGCGCAGGATCATCATGGAATATTCATCACTCCTGGTAAAGCTGTATTCCTTGTGGAAGAAACAAGAAACATCTTCATAATCACAGCTAGGTTATTTTTTTACTTAATGGTGTGGGCTGGGCTTTGATCCTTGTTCCCAGCCTTATTGATGGCTTTTATCTAGTGAAACTATGAATAAAATTATCMATTTTTAGGCTAATGCCTGGCATTTTAGCTGCTTAAAGATTTGAAATAAAACTCTRGGGTTTTGCTTTTGGATTTTGATACCCATGTGTCATTTTATTTTCTCATGGSCACATTTGGGCCTATATTGTTTTTGTCATTTTTGTTTGACAGAAATGCTTCCTGGTGGAGATGGCTGGGGGAAAACCTSCTACTTAAGAACGGTTGACCATAAGATGAATCTGAATTGCTGATTTAATTTCAGAATTGACTTATAATGGCAGAAGTTACAATGATAATTATRTTTTATTTTGGCAGCATTTCAGCCAAGGCACTGCTATATCGCAATGCAGCAAAAGAAAAAAMTTATTCCCAAAGTAGTTTTCAGCCTAAATTTAAGACTTGCCTTTCTATTTTTTTTTGCAGGCTCTGTTTTACATTATAAAGATACTAAAGTCTGAAGAAAAAGTATATTCAAAGATCTGTATTTTTCCATTGTCTTTRTCTATTCAGAGAGGATGGGTGTTTTTCAGCAAGAAGAGGATAGGCACAGCCTGTCCTTCATTAATGCACCTATTCGTCTCAGTTTCTCCATTTGTATGAGTCCGGATTTGAATACCCACTTTAATCAATGCAAATAAAGGGCTTCTCCTAGGGAGTGTGTGAGTCTTCAAACAAGCTAGTGGGGGGGAAGAACATCTGCTGTCCTTTGACATTGTTTTGAGGGCTTACAGATTTATTTGAAGTGCTTTCCCTCATACCACTGGGATTTTTAAAAACTTTTGTTATTTCCTGTGGTCCGGAGGYTTTCTCTTTTCTTTGAGAGAAAGGCAGGAGACTCCCCACATCTGCCCCATGTTCCTGTTACTAAACAAGGTCTGTTTTAAAAATACAMACTTCTGGTTACTTTTCTGTAAAGTGTTAGCTTATGATTTTCCAAAGTACCTTTWACTTCTAGGGACTATTTTTGTTCTCTAAATTAATATGGAAGAAATGCTAYAATGTATTTTTAAAGCCCATATTTAGGAGAAAAAAACAGGGCGAGAAACTGTCTTATGTACCCAAATCCACATTCTGTAGATGTAATTGTGGAGTGTTTGTCCATTGTGTAAAAGTTACAAATATTTTTATATCTCATTAAGGGAAAGTGCTAAGTGAAGTGAAGTTCAGGAGCCTGAACACTCTCCTGTTCAGCTGTGGGCATTTGAGGTTGATGTGAGATGTGTCTGTAGCTTGTCAGACACACAAGGATGAGTTTCAACATCCGTTTATTTGCTGAATTGGGAAGTTTCTACATGTCTTCTTTTAGAGGAGGCATTTCCATATAAACGGGCTTTTGTCTGTGATACCTTGAAGCYTCTAATTACATTTCAGATGGAGTTGGGAGGTTTTGGGTTCCCACTCTGCACTTCCCCCTGGAGGATAATGGGTCCCAATGGCTGTTTTGGAGAGTTGGTTTTTAAAATRAGTGTTAGAAGGCTGGGAAGATGCACTTCCCAAACATCTAGGCTGACATTCCCAACCTGACATTTGTTCATAAATGCCAGCACTACTGGYATCTCTTTTGCAATGTCTTAATATCCTAAGGGCTTAGAAAACCTGTGAATTGTGGCTTGTTRGCACTTTTTTTATAAATGCATTTCTTATCACACAACAGGGCTACTTCACTTTTGGCTTAATTTCTCAACAGTGTAAATAAACCTCTTTTTGTGAAGCAGTTTTCCTTGCCTATTGTTAACACATATAGAAAGGCACTCCTCTAAAGAAAGAAATGACAGGGCTGTTTAATGCTGAATACCTTCTTCCCTGTAGGGCTAATATAGGAAATGGTAGTCCCTGTCACAGTGAATGTTGTTGATTTTGTTACCCTGATGGGATGCACATCTTCATTAAAACAAAATTAAACAGCTGATAACATGCCTGTTAATTTTTTAGAGCTTGCAGCTTGTGAACATTACACTGTATAGTAATTAATTTAAAAGACTCCCATATATAGACTTTTTCTGTATGTTTTTC